CTAGCTACAGCCGAACCGAAATGGTTCAAGGGTGACGAAAGTCATAAGTATGTGGACGACTTATTGCCACATGTGGACTACTTATTGCCACATGTATTAGTCTATTGTATGGTTATGGAACTCGCAATTAGGATAACAGAAATTTACTTATAGTAATAATGAACCACTTTATACATCTTTTACATCTTTTACAACTTTTACATCTTTCACATTCTGCAACTAACATTCAGGAAAGTACGGGACTTTCCTGGGGGAAAACATGGAACCTAATCACAATTACATCTTTTACATCTTTAACATCCTTTACATTAGAAACCAACATGCAGGAAAGCACGGGGCTTTCCTGGGTAATACTTACATATCAATAAGAGTAACAAACTGGATAACATTACATCTTTTACAATTAGTAAAAAACAATAAGGAAAGTATGGGACTTTCCTGGTAACATATGATAAGTAAATAGAACAGTTTAACAAGTCAGATAACCAACTATACATTTTCATATGAGTAGACATGTTTTAAGTGTACAACTTACTATACTTTACAATTGTGAAACAATAACCAACTATTAAGAAAATAAGGGATTTTCTTGTTGTACAACATTTCAGAAACAAAAAGGAAACTCGAAACATTTTCACTAACAAAAACCGCGTATGAACTCACCAGCTTTATGCTGATTTTCAAACCGCTTGTGTTCTCAAGTCAGCGTTAGAACAGGTACCGAAGATCCTTTTTGCTAGAAGACGGTGTACATGAAGATCCGTTTCTTTTGTTTATATATATTATGCATCACAATAACTTTACTTTTGAAACAACTGTAAAACTTTATTATGTAATGTAATGGTTGCTTTACTTTACTTACTATGTGCATTGGATTTGATACTAAACGTGGAAGTCCACCCCGGAAATGTTTCCGCCTTTGGTTTTCGGGGTGTGACAAACAAGTGCAACTTCCACCACGACGACGCCCGCCAGGTGATGCAGTGTCTGAACTGCAACGGGAAAGGGGACACAACCCGTTTCTGTAAAGCTCCAGCGAAACCAATCAACCAAGCTCCCGGTGCTGGAATGGGCCAAACTTGCTACGGATGTGGCGAGGTAGGCCACTTCAAGAGAAACTACCCAAATGCAGGGTTTGGCGATGGAGCGGCAACTGCTTTGGCCATAGACCGTGAGGAAGCGGTAGCCGACCCCACAGTGGTCACCGGTACGTTCCTCCTCGCACTACTAGAAAAACAGCCTTTCACGATGCTCATTGCGCGTCGTAAAACGCTCAGACGACGCGCAAATGGGCGTCAAGGAAGGCCCTATCATAAAGAGAGATGACACGCTTTTGCGGGTCGTCTATAGACAATTCGCATTTATGACGAGCATTTACGACGTGCGGTTATGACACACAATGCGTATCAAGGAAGGCCCTGTCATAAAGGAAGACAACACGCATTTGTGTGTCATAACCTTACGACGCACGTTTTTATGCGTATCAAGGAAGCTCCTGTCAAGAAAGGTCATGTCATAAATGAAGACGACACACATTTTTGCGTATCGTAATTTTATTTTATTTTTTTCTAAAAAAAATATTTATAGATTTACTGATTTTCAAATTAAATTTGCATTTCATGTCTCATAATAGAAAATAAAATACCATATACAAAAAATATAATACATTCTAATACATTGATATTAAAGGAATCTAATTGTACATTGTTATTAAGAGGTTTTCCCTAACTATATAACCTAATACTACATTACTATAAAGGGCACCTTCTTTTTTAAGTAACTCATCATTAAGCTGTCATAAGAAGCTCTGAAACCCTTCATGTATCCAACCAATGATCATGTCTATTAGCTTAAATATGAATCCCAACTCTTAATGAAGAACAACACGGAAATCCTACACAATAATTATATCAGTTGTACAATATCAATATCAACTAGTTAATAATACACATGGTATGTATGTATGAGAGTGGAATCAAAATGACCTACCAATAAGAGTTTTGTATGTATTGACCTCCATGAACTTGAGAAGCAGCCTAAAAGAGCCAATACATACATATTCACACAAAAAATATATATTAGAAACAATATCAAATAATATAAAACAATGGGGGTCAAGGTCAAAGTGAACCTACCAAAGCTGAAAAGCTGCAATCCGATGTTGGGGGAATAGAGCTCACAAGTTGCTCTTTATCCAAATCCCAAACCATGGTTAATGAAATTTCACCAGAAGCAAACTGCATTAATAAGTAAAACATAAACATATGTTTTTATAAACAAAGTAAGAGTAGTGGATACCATAAAGCCGGATTACTGCTGCCAATCTAAGGCGGGACAAGGACTCACTTTTGATCATTAGAAAAAAGAAAAATAGAAAACTTGGAGCATAGTGAAATTCAATACACCACATGTGTTAATAAAAAGGAATTGGAATTGGAATGGAATCTGTCAGAGGAATTGAAATTTGAGGGCATCAGGATCAAAAGGAAACGTGTTTGGTTGGTTGGACGGATGGAATGAAATTCAATAATAAAATTGAATGATTCGTAAGTTTTATTTTTTCTATATTTATTATTTCAATACATATAATGAGGATATTTTGGTCTTTAAGTAAAAAAAGAAGGAATGGAACTGATTTTCATTGATTTAGCAAACAAACATGCCATGATGGAATGAAATATCGAATTCCAGTTATATGAGTTTTAAGTACTCTAAAAAACACACATGATTCGTTAATTTAGTTATCTGGGGTCATTTTTCCAAGTTTTCTCCTGCATAACAAACATATCATAAAATCACTCATATATTATTCATTCTTATTTTAAGCATTTGGTAAATAAATCCACCGTCAAATATTCAATGGATTAGATTATCCACTTCATTTTTTTGTTATTTTTACTTTATTTCCAATTTATTCAGCTCTTCTACTTCCTATGAATCAAGGAAAAACTTCCTGTTAACTGGAGGTTTCCAGCTTCGAGGCCTAAGCAAATTGATATAACTTGCAATGCAAATACATCATATCATAAGTTTTCCCATACATACATACTAGCAACTAGCGGTTACACTATTTTGTGAAAAGTAGTTGTAAACTTACTTTTTTGTGCAGGCCTTGAGGTGACTTTTGCCTAGTGAAATTTTTGGTTGGATAGGAAAGGTCATTTTGGGTAGGAATGATTCGTCTACTCTCGTTTTCAAATTAATCCAAGAATAACTGCCTTACCAATCCACCAAGGTTTCCTACAGTCTCTTTAGCAACTACAACTTGCATCATATCATATTAATAAAAAATAACACTTCTTTGTCACAAAAAATAACACCCATGTATTTAAAAATAAAAAATAAAAAATACATACAACTCTAGGGTGAAGCCTAACGTCTCCCTCTATATCATCATGCTCTGGAGCATGTGAGTCGTCTGAAAGCGGTAAGTTGTTGTCTGAATTTGCAGCTTGTGATTGGGTGCGTGCCTGTGCAGCTTACCAAACAGGATTCACATCCTTGGCTTCCTGAGCAGAAGCTTCCACCATCCTCTCCATAGGTTCTCTACTGAACAAAATGTATTTTTATGAAATAAACATATATCGCTAAATAAACATATTTAACTTCTTTGGAAAATATAAAATATGAATTTCAACTCAAATAGTCAAAAATAACACATCACGTTAGTTTTTTTTTCATTCCATCATGCACATGGAATGGAATTTTGTAACATACTAACATAACCATTTTTATTTATGTAACTTATAAAATGACATGTTTTTTTCTACAAGTATCCTCCAAAATGGATGCATGTGTATTATATAAAAAAATAGAAAAATATTTGTAATTTGTGAAGAGATTTATGAATTATGGGTATAGTTTGCAGTTATATGTAAGTAGATAAGTTAAGATAACAGAACTAGAAGTCATCAATAGCAACCCACCTTTCAGTATTTGTTTTGCCTTGTGATAGGTTTACTTGATCATTTCAATAGAAAAAGATATAATATATCAGGAAAAGAGAAAAGTTAAAAAGTAGTCACCTATCAAGATTTCTTTTGTCCAGACCAAGAGAGTGATGCACCAAAATCAAACACCTGCTACATGAACATGAAATCTGAACGTGAAAAAATATAACAGAATTGGTAAAACTATCTTAAAATGCCATGCCATGTAACTCATTGAAGAACAAAAAAACATCACACTATGGATATATAACAGGAGTAGTAAAACAGATTAAAAGACCCACTCTTCTCTTGTCTAATTCTATGTATGCATCAAAACTCCAACTACTATCTATTAAATCTCACATTGCTACATTAAAAACAAATATATTAGCATACATCATAGACCACTAACTGATGCCACCAACTTATAAGGAAAACATAGCAGCATAAATGTCTAATCTGCTAATTACCTAGACTTGGATACTCTCGGCTGCAGATTCTTCACCAGCTGGGCCAGAGCCCATAACTTTCTATTCTAATTCCTTGTCTTGCTCAGATCTGGCAACAAGTATAAAATATATTCATAGTTATTATTGTCATTATAAAAAATATATTTATTATTACATAACACAACAAATTTATGTAGGCAACTTAAGAAACAAGTCACAAACCTTATTTTCCGAGTAGGCTTTGCAGCCCCTGTGACATTGACAAGCTCAAGCTCCAACTCCAACCCCCATAATAAGAAAAAACTGAAGAAGGATACCAATGTAAACAAAAAATCCATGAAAATATGTTGTTATTTCATGCACTTAACCTAAGCAGAAAGGAGAAATTAGTCAAATTACATACAAGCTCTTGTAGCATATTCGAGTTCAAGAAAGAATGCCACTACAACGCTTCTTCATATATCAATGTCTTGATTACATTAACTTAGCTTTTTGGCTTAACCCAATAAGGGGCAGCTAAATCTACAGATGTACGATTATCTTCATCATCTGTGAAATAGCAACAATATGAGAGCAAAACATACTAAGATTATACATAAAAAGAGAAGCAAAAAGGATAATAATGGTGGGTGTATTTTGTGATGAAGTGAATCTGTAAGAGGCAATTGATTTGATTCTGAATTTGGTGTTGGTCAGGAAGGGTTACCCACACCAGCAGCCCTGGGAGAAGTGACACAGTCTGCAAGACAGTTGTTGATTGAAGAAGCTGGAGAATGCTTGATGGTATCTTATTCTTATCTCCCAAACTAAACTTCCTAAATTTAACTATCAAGGTTATGTTGGTGATTTGTGGTTGCAACAATTGACATGACAATTAGGGGATCAGAACAATGTAAGTGATCATGTGACACGGTTAAGGATGCAGTCAAATGCTTTGAGGTCAGGTGCTTTGTTGCAAAATTTGGGTGCTTTTCTGTTGGAGCTTGGATGAACAACCATGACACTACGATTGGGACAGTCACCCGTGGGTTTTTATAACTTTTAACTATGTTTCCAAGTTTCTTATATTAATTAATTAAAAACAAAAACCAATATATATATATATATATATATATATATATATATATATATATATATTACCTGGCTGTTGTAGAGTGATGCAGTGGTGAATGCTGGACCTGCTGTTTTCATATCAGCATCCGGACCAAATCCAATCATGGTGCAACCTCTACCTTTTCAACCTGCCACGAGTTTTGGAACAACCACACATCCACCTCCACCTCCAAATGTAGTTGTGACAAGGTCAGCCTCTAGCACTAGTAGTTTTGGTTCTGCTTTACGTCCAAGGAATATTGATATCAGAATACGTACAGGTATGTATTACTTACACTATTCTCATATTCTGATTTTAATCTGTTTACTTCTTATATGCCCTTTCTTTAGGTTTATATTCAAATTTCATTAACAACTCTTCAACTGCAAACAAAAAAGAAATCTCTAGTTACTGAAACCCAAATCCATTAATATACTAAATATTATTACAGATATAAACAGGGAACATGTGATGCAACTAATTCATCCATCCATTAAGGCATTACCAACCACACAGTCCTCTCATCAAATTACTATAATAATCTGATCTTTTATGTGAAATACCTTTTATAACCCTGACCTAGTTATGTTCAATAACATAATAATTAATAGTAAGTGAACATTCAACTATTATTTTAATAATTGAAGTAAAAGAGCTCACTGACATGCTGGAATTCAGAAGCCCAACCCCCAGCACCATTTTGTCGTTCAAAGGATAAAGCCCAAGCATTCGGGTCCCCATCGTGTTGTTGTGAAAATTCACTTAACGGACCTTTACGGAACAGCTCCTGGCCTTCCTTCAAAGGATCAGGATGCCCAACATAAGGATTTAAATCAGAAAATATATACACCCCCTTGAACTCTCAGATTTCTGCTTCACAACAGCTTGTTCGTTTAAGTACCTACAAAAACAATACCAATTTACCCAATCCATTCACCAATAATAAATATAATTATTCTTCCAATGCTTGTATGCTCCAACTCACTCAACTCTCAAGGACTTCAAATACATTTTGGAAAACATCTATTATTCAACGTCAACCACCAGATGATGAATTTTATTTTCTTATTCACCTTTACTCGTATCATCGTGTTGTTTATATTATTATAATAGGAATTATCTTGTACTTTTCTTCTCCTTGAATTTGTATCTTATTTTTATGCAGAAACTAAAACATCCGACTTCTTTCAGGCTATGTGGGTAGGAATTAATAGGCAACTAATAGCTTAAGAAGAAATATAGGGTCAGTAATTGGTTGGGGAAGGAATACAAGTTAGTCTCACTTCTAAACCGAAAGGAAATGAGTGTTTCTCAACTCAAGGAAAGGGGGTGTTGAGGCGGCCATAAATGCAAGGCGGTAGGTCGTGTTAGTCCAGGTATGTTGTACGGATTAGAATGTTTACAACTTAACTCAAAAGTCAAAATCAGCAAGCAGTAATGAATTTTGAAAACTTAAAGTGATTTCGTTGTCTTCCCCCTCTTCTTCTTTTTTCATGTCCTCTGATTATCTTTTTTCCAATAAGTTAAGAGAGAGGCAATCAGACTTTATTGTAGTATGTCTAGGTGATTAAGATGTTTTTCAGTGAAAATGACAATTTAATGAACAAGAAAGCTAACTGCTACCAACTCACTTACAACTTAGAAGAAGAAATCAATACTCAGGAAGGAACAAATAACAAAAGTTACTCGAAGAATTGATTAAACACTCAAATCAACAAAGCTAAACCTCTAATGATTTGCTAGAGGTTCTCTCAAAGGTTCCAAGACCAGAACTAGAACTTGACAAAAGATAACACTCATTCCATCTACTACTCCTTTATAAGCATTCTAAAGAAAATACCTAAAATGCCCCTCCACTAATAAGATGCTATTTATTTTCTCATACTACCCTTTTCTATAATTGGATGTTGTGACAACCCGAAATTTCCATTTGTACGAACATTATCTATTCAATAGAAGCTAGTCCAGTTTTTGTGATTTTCAGACTTGTCCGAACAAGTTTGTGTACATTAGGGTTTACGTTTCTGTACATATCAGGAGAGTGGATGCTCCTGTAATTGTGAAACTTGAACATTGTAAGTTTCATAATGTTATAGTCGGACTTCTGGAATAAAAATATTTTCTGTCAAAATATTTCAGGACTATAAATAGATTTCTGAATTTAATTAACTCATTATTCACAATTCCAACTAGAGAAAAGCCAATTCTCTCTGACGGATCTTCAGGTTTTCATCCCGGATTGTGAGTCTACTTTCCTAAACGTGTTTCAATACTTGTTATATGCTTTATAACATCAATTATATGTCTAAACTGCAAGATCCGAGAGTTTACCGCCCAAGAACGTTCTTGGGGAGTAAACTCCAAAACGAAGCCTAAAGGCTACCTAGTCCCATTTTCTTGTTAAGCAACTAGTTAAGGACTTAGTGTATGATCATTAGAGGCTAGAAATCATTCAAGAAACATAAGTGATAGGAGTTTACGGCCAAGGAACTTTCTTGGGCCGTAAACCCCTTTTTAAGGGTCATAAATGACCTAAATCACCTCCTTAAGCCTAAGGACTTTACCCTCTAATACTTGTGCTTATTTTGGACACCAAAACACTTCAAAATCAAAGGGTTTTAGGAGTTTACGGCCAAAGAAGGATCTTGGGCCGTAAACCCCTTTTTCAAGGGCAAAGTATGCCTTAAACACCCTAAAAGCCTTAAGAAAATTTACCTTGAACACATGGGACTTGAATGGGGAACAAATGACATCAAAATCACTCCTTAAAGGGAGTTTACGGCCAAGGAACATATCTTGGGCTATAAACTCCAAGTGATGACATAAAAGTGTGCCTCTTGTCCCCTTTAGCCTTAGATAAAAGCATGGAAGCTATCCTACACATGAAAGGGCCTCAAAAGAATTAAAACCAACACCCCATAGGAGTTTACGACCATAAACTCTAGGGGATATGGTCCTTTGGCCGTAAACTCCCAAAAGGAGCATTCCAAGGCCTTATAATACTTCAAGGATTATTCCAACAAGGCTAGGCTTATTCTAGGATCAAGATAACACCTCAAAACACCCAACACCACCATGTGAGGAGTTCGCGGCCGTAAACCCATGGGTTCATGGCTGTAAACTCCAAAGAGTGGGGTTTGTTGGGTGGTGAACTCATATACAAGGCCATTTGTGCTTTAAACCCCTTTTGCCTTGTCCTGTATCAACTTAGATGCAACCATTAGGACATATAACACTTATATAAAGTGTATACATGTTCCTAAGTGTCTTAACTTACTTGGTTAAGTTATTATTTGGCTAATTAGTTATATATATGCTCATTATATGATAACTAGGCTCGAACGTGTGAACAAGTCTCCGTTTGCCACCTAGCACGGTACCCGATACATCAATTCAATCTACTCACCACAAGTGAGTTCATACCCCTTTAATCAACCTTTGAAATACTTTTAAATGTTTTAAATACTTTATGGGGGAATACAAGTCAAATACTTATAGTTATTACATCAATCACATGTGATTACATTAATCACATGTGATTAATAACTAGAAAACCAATGATTTTATCACTGTTCAACTGTTTATCAAACTGTTTCACTTAAGATGTTTTACAAACTCTTTTTACTTATCAAATGCTTTTATTAAACTTTGTTTTACTTCTTATAAATTGCATGTCCATATATGTATATATATATATATATATATATATATATATATATATAAATAAATAATGTTTAAAGGGCTTAGGAAGGCCATCCGCCCTATTTCCTTTTCGCGCACTGAGATGTGGTCTGGTGGGATTTCGGGTGACCATCCGAAGGTCGTTTCAATATTAGTTATATATCATATATACATGTATAAACATAAAAGTACTTCCATATTCATATTTATCAGTACATCAATAGCTAGTTACCATCGGGGTAATACAATACATATACAACTATACTGGAAACAATACATATACAATGATGCTAGAAACAATACATATACAATGATGCTAGAAACAATACATATACAACTATACTAGAAACAATACATATACAATGATGCTAGAAACAATACATATACAATGATGCTAGAAACAATACATATACAACTATACTAGAAACAATACATATACAACTATACTAGAACGAGAAACATTACATATACATGAATACTTTATTTATTGTGATTTAAATCGGTGCATGACTTAACTGTCATGGCTCGAGTTGTATCCAGAATTCTCTTCAAGGGAGAGCGTGAGTTTACGTATAGATCTATACTGGATTGACAATCCTACACCTTGCTGCTAGCTACAGCCAGACCTGCAGGTCTGCGGGTGCCAAACGTCATTCCGTTATTACGACCATTCATTATGTCATTGTTACTAGTCGATAGTATGGTGCAATTTATCACATAATGCCTTAATATAAATCCGGTTTAAGGTAATTAGTACAACAGTAGTTCTTATAATACAAGGCTACAGTACTACAATTGTTTACCCATTACATATTTTAGTGATAACCTCACTTAAACGTAAATGTACAAACTATATTTTGTTAAATGATAGTTACACTTGGGAAATTACACACTTTTACATCAAACGAGCATACAAAACAGTTAAGCCTTGGTAGAAGGCTACTTTGATAGAAAATATAGGTTTTTCTGAGATATTCAAACTTTTACAAACAATTGCAAACCTTTACATACATTTTACAAACTTATACTTGATACATGTTCAAACATTTTTGGATGACAAACACCGACACAAAATACTTATGAACTCACCAGCTTAATGCTGATAAACTTTTTCAAAATAACTTGTATTCTCAGGTCATCGGTAGACAGGTACCGAGGCCAGCTTTTGAGAACATGGACCGCATTCAAGACTCATCTTATTATTTTGATATACATTATTTTTGGTGTCTATACTATACAAAACACGCTTGTATTAAAATTATATATTTAATGCAATGGATGACGTTGTTTGCTTATTTACATTTACTGTGTTGTGATACTTACATGACGTCCTCCGCCCCAGAACGTTTCTGTCGTTCTTGGTTTTGGGGTGCGACAGATGTGTAGCAGTAACTAACACGTTTATCTATCCAATGTCTCGCCCAATCAGACTTTAGACATCTATTTAGTGCTTATTGCAAAATAAAAAATATGCCTTGGGGTGAATATTAAGGGTTCTGGATATGAGGAGGAATTCTAAGGTTACTTATGTACACGGGAAGCAGGTTTTCTTGAAATGATTATTAAAACAGCAGATTGTTTTATGTGGAGAAAAGAGGATAGAAGTTGCTCGTCATATGCAGATACCCAATTATCAGCAGAATCATCTTCCATAATCGCTTCACCAACCTGGCGACCAAATTCATCTGCCCAGTCGTTGGGAAAATTCATCAGCCCATCCATCTGCAAGGGGCCCCATGACTTGCTACACTCCTCAATACTGATCCAGTTTTGCGTATCTACCAGGCATGTGCTCCCTAACCAACCCCCCACGATTATCGATCTCTAAAGAAGATAACAGAGCATTCACCTAAACAAGCATTTGTTAACTTAATTTTCATGGATTAGAATTTACTAGCATCCTGAAAAATCATTACACAAACATCAAAACAATAAAGATATATACAGAGAGAGAGAAAGAGAGAGAAAGAGAGAGAGAGAGAGAGAGAGAGATAAACATGTAACAAGGGTGAAGGGGTAGTTTAGACATTTACCAGATGGGACCGTACGCGTCGATTGAGTCGATATAATTCTTCACAAAACAAAAATTTCTATTCAATTTAGAGAAACTAATCAAAGTTGTTATAAGAAATAATGGAAAAGT